TACAAAAAGTACAATACATATATTTGTATTACATATTACATATGTTGAATCATTCACATACACAGTAAATCAAATTTAGTATCAGCCATTTAAAACAAGATGGCAGAATTCTGTAGAGCACCAAGGAAAGACTAGTTTTTCTAACCTAAAAATAATCATAGGAAAATAAGTGTACGTTTACTGAAGGTACTGATCCAAGTTTGAGTAACAGCATTATTTCTATAACAGAATTGTTATAGAAATTGTTTTAACCTTTGGATATTTCAAATATGGGTAGAGCATAAAGAATATTTGTCCTGAAATAACTAGCTCTAATTTGCAATCTAAACCTACTGTAAGTATAAAAATCAGGACAGACCTCTCTGATTAATGGACTTTGAATGCTTCAAATGAACATTTTCTAGAGGGAGTATACCCTGAAGGCAATTTCTATCTCTGCTGCCCAATCTTTATTATATCATTGTCTATAAGCTGTTTCTCTAACTAGGTCATTACTACTTATTAATCATTATGAATTCTTTATTGCCTTAAATGTTCCTGACCACCATTATTTTAATCTAACTTTCAAAATGACATGAACATAGTTTATCACCTTCAATATTTGTACAAGCATTAAGTGTGCTACTGAGAAAAATCCACTAAAATCCTGATTGAATATAAAATTTAAAAAAATCTTAAATGCTTTTTTGAATTTCAAGTAACCATTGGTGTAAAGAACATATGAGATAATATGTTTATACTGGGTTTGGAAATTTGATATTATGGACGCAACTTTACTACAGCCCTTTTCTATGGACTTCTGCTTTGGGGAAAATAATGTGGGAACCCTCTCAACTATGTCTGGAAGATATGGATAGAACAAACTGCCTGCATGTTCTTCTGCAGCAGAGTTAAGAGAAAAAAAATATATATATCTACTTCTTATAAGAATGTTACTTATGATTTTAATGTCTTTGTTATTTTTTATTATTAGAGTAGCACCAAATTACTGGATACCATTGTGACTAGATGGAGTTTATATGAAATATGGAAGTTTGATTTTGGAGGTTAAATGTCTAACAGAAGAATCACAACTTTCCCCTGGGGGACATGTATGCTTGTGATATACATATATAATATCACATATATGTTTTATATATATGTGTATTATACAATCATATATCATACATAATTGAATTTTTCTTTCATTTAGCTAATATTTTCATTACAAAGTTAACAGAATTTTCTAAATTTAGATTTTTGATACTTAAACTTAGTTTCAATCATTTCCTCATGCATATTTATAAAGAATGAGTTATATTTTGTATTAATATGTACATGAAGTGCTATAAGAATCCTAAGTGAGAAGGAGAACCAGGTTTCTATAGTAGAGCAATAAACAAGAAAACTTAAGTTCCCTCTTGCTTTATGCCTTTTCTCGTTAAAACCATTGAAAATTGGGGGGGGGGGTGTAAAAATCCAAGCTTAGCTTCAAATTCAAGTCAGTATCCAGTCACTAAGCCTTTCACTGAAAGTAGTTTCCCCCTTGCTTTTTCCCATGGGAAGGAGTCTTGGCACATGGCACCCAGAAACGAAAACATGAGGCAGCAGCCGAAAACTTCCCTCATCATCTTTTATGCAACAGATAATGGAATAGCTGGAGATCTGCCTTGCAAAGCAGAAGTTTCTGGCTCCAAGTGAAGATTAGCTAAGGCCTTTGTGAAATAAAGCAGCACAAAGCAAACCAAGAAATAGCCACATCAAGTTCCTTATGTAAGGGGCTCCAACAAGAGAATTTGCTTTGTATTTCTTAGGCCAGGTGAACTTGGAAGGAAGGACCACTTACACTCAAGGCCGCTCTCGATAGATAGCCTTGCTCATCTGTGAGGGCCAAAGAGAAGCGTAGAGAACAAAGACCATTACTTTTCCTTCTGGCTTGGTTCAGTTTTTCTCCTCCAGGTGACTTAGGTGATTGCCTATGAAATATTCCCCAGTAGATAGTCTTCGATGGATTCATGAGAGCAGAAGGGATTGTTTCTGATCATAGGAAAATGGGAGGAAATTTTTGGGATTGAGCTGCCTAGTAGTTGAGAGATAAAAATCATCTGAAAGTACTCTAAACATAAAGTTTTTACTCAAGCAAGTTTTACGTTAAGGAGTGTTAGGAAAGGGTATAGAGGAAAGAGAATGAGCTAGGGGCATGTGGACTCTCAGCCAGCAAAGGGCCATCTCCCTGTGCTCAGCTCCTCCTAGCTAAGCCCACAAAAGCAGGGTCTTGCACCTACCTAAGAGAATTAGGTCACCATTGGAAGGATGAATGATTGGCAAATTGGATGGTATTTCTCAGTCTGGGAAAAATAAAGGAGTGTCTCAATAAATGAAATGTCAGATAAAATGTCTTAGCCTGCAAATTCTGTAATTGCATCGGAGAGAAGAATCTGCTTGTTTCTATAAATTTTAAATCATTAAATGACCCAAATTAATCAGTCCTTGGCTTCCTGGAGCCACCAAACTGCAGTCGCATTAAGATTGAAAGGCAGACGGTAAAGTTTTTTACTAAGTCATTAAATTTTGGCCAAGTATAACCATATATATATATATATATATATATATATATATATATATATATATATATATCAGTACGATGTACAATATAAACATCTTTTGAAGAGCAAATGTACCTTAATTCTTAAGAGGGTGACAGATGAGATTCTTCAAATAAACAACTTGCAGAGTCAGATCAGGGTTGGAGAATGGCACAACTGGTAGTGTCAGCCTACCAGAGAAGGGTGAAATTTAGTATTTTTTATGAGCATATGGCAGTTGTACAAGGCGAGGGGTTTCACTGTGATAGTTCCATGCATCAATATAATGTATGAAAATTATATTGATATTCACTCCCTATTTCTTACCCCTTTCCCTCCAATTCTCTTTTCAACTTTCTCACAAAAAGTGTTTCTGTTTTGCTATCACCTTTTCTCGCGATGTACGTCTACTGTATTTTCCTCCCTCATCTTTTAGCTCCTCTCTTTTACATCGGATAGCTTCTCCCCATTGGGCACTCTTTTGCACTCATGTCTTTTTTTTCCTCAGAGGTAGATTATGCAGATGAGAGCAGACATTGAGCATTTGCTTTTCTGAGTCACCCTTCTTTAGCTGAACAGAATGATCTCTAGTTCCTTCCCTTTTCTTTCAATTACATAATTTCATTTCTTCATGACTGCATAAAACTCCCTAGTGTGTGTACATTATAGTTTATCATTGCATTTCTTTATCCTTTACCTGTTTGAGAGGCTCGTAGTTTGATCCATAACTTGGCTCTTGTGAACAGTGGAGGGATCAGCATGGGTCTGCAGCTACCTCTGTTGTACACTGACTTCCATTGCTTCCAGAATATGCCAGTCATCTTCATTTAATGTAGGGACATGATGTTTGCGTGTCATGCTTAAATGCCACAAGCCAGCTGGTCACCCAGCCCTCGGAAAGGAGGTGAGGCCTCTGGGACCCACCAGAGGGAACTGCCTTTCTACCTGGAAGGTCAGTTTGGGATTGCTGTCTGGGGCCCTAGAAGCACCAAGTGCTGCATAATTAAAGACTGGTGTGTGAATGGGGTGTTGGTGGTTCAGGCTGTAATCCTGGCTACTCAAGAGGCTGAGATATAAGGATCACAGTTCAAAGGCACCTGGGTAGGAAACTCTTTCAAATCCTTATCTCCAATGAACTGTCCCCAAAAGAAGCTATTATTGACTCAAGTAGTAGAGCATCAGCCTCTCCCCCACCCTCAGTAGTCATTAGGACAAAGTAACCTAGACCGTCATCTTTCTTGAGTTGTAAAATGGAAATCGCTGGGGCTCCCCACCCTGAGGGCACACAACTCAAATCCCATTTCCAGCTAGGATGGGTGATCACACACGGGTCTTAAGGTGGGGGGGGGAAGGGCAGGGAACCAGGCTCTCTCTCTCTTTTGCACCTGACATAGGGCACGCCCTCTTTAGAGGGTTCAACCCACCTCTCAAAACCCAGAAACTCATTATTCATTCATTGAAACTTACTGAACTCATCACATCAACGAATCTGCAAAGGGTTTTAAATAATAATAATAATAAAGCAAGACATCTGAAATAAATAACTAAGATCGAGGGCCCCGGCCCGGCCCGGCCCGGCCCGGCTCCCCCCCCCCCCCCCCGCCCCCGGGCAGGGGAGGCGGGCTCCGGGATGCTCTCCCTGCCCTTGAGTCTCCTTCCTTTGTAGATTTTTGGGGCCTGCGCGTTTCCGTTTCGCGGGCGGAGGGGCGCGTGCGCGCGCGCGGCGGGACCGCGCCCGGGAGCGCGCGCGGCGCGGCCTCGGCTGTCAGGCGGGCGGGGCTGCCTGGGACCCGGAGGCCCGCGCGGGTGGGGTGCGGCGCCGCCCCGCGCGCCTCGGCCGGCCCCTCCTCCTTCCCCACCGCCCCGTCTCCCGGGGTGGCGGCGTCCTCCGGGAGCCCCACCCCCACCCCCGACCGCCGGGCGGAGGCACCGGGCGGGGCGCGCGGGCGCGCGGGGCGGCGGGGCCCGGCGGGCTGCAGCATTTCCCGCCAGCGCCGGGCGCCGGGCAGGAAGGGCCGGGCCGGGCCGGGCGCGCGCGGAGGCGGCGGCGGGCGCGCGGAGCCGGGCCTCCCCCGGCCGTCCCCGTCCCCATCCCCGCCCCCGCCGGGGGCCGAGCCCGGGGCGGGCGGGAGCGGCGAGGCGTGGCCGGTGGAGGAGGCGCCTCGGGGGGCGTGGGGCGCCCCGGCGGCCGGCGGGGGTTCCCCCACCCCCGTCCCCGAGCGATCGGCGCCGGACAATGAGCCGGGCAGCCGGGCGCTGAGGGCGCGCGGGGGCCGGGAGGGAGGCCGGGCGGCCTCGTCTAGCCTGCGGGGACCGGGCGCGATGCCGGGGCCGGGCGTCCCGGTGCGGTGAGGCCCCCCGCGCGGAGCCCGGCCTCGCGATCGCGGGGAGGGTTGGGGAGGGGAGGAGTGCGGAGGAGGGGGGGGTACTGAGCGACCGCGATGGCCAGCACCCGGAGTATCGAGCTGGAGCACTTCGAGGAGCGGGACAAAAGGCCGCGGCCGGGGTCGCGCCGCGGGGCGCCCAGCTCCTCCGGGGGCAGCAGCAGCTCGGGCCCCAAGGGCAACGGGCTCATCCCCAGCCCGGCGCACAGCGCGCACTGCAGCTTCTACCGCACGCGCACCCTGCAGGCGCTCAGCTCCGAGAAGAAGGCCAAGAAGGCGCGCTTCTACCGCAACGGGGACCGCTACTTCAAGGGCCTGCTCTTCGCCATCTCCGGGGACCGCTTCCGCTCCTTCGACGCGCTGCTCGCCGAGCTCACCCGCTCGCTCTCCGACAACGTCAACCTGCCCCAGGGCGTCCGCACCATCTACACCATCGACGGCAGCCGCAAGGTCACCAGCCTGGACGAGCTGCTGGAAGGTGCGTGTGCTTGTGTGTGCGTGGGGAGGGGGGTCCCCCGGGTCCCCCTCGCCCCCCACACCTCCCCTGGGCGCGCGGGGCGGCAGGTGCAGCAGGGCCTGGGCCCGCCGCGCGCGCGCCCCCTCCCCTCGGCCCGGCGTGGCGGGGGCTGGGAGGAGGAGGGGAGTGAGCACAGGTCGGGTGCTTTGTGGGGTGCTGCGCTTTCCCCGCTTCAGCAGCTTGGGGTGATGGGGGGGGGCAGGGAGAACCACCTGTCCACACGGATTATTCCTTCCTTCCCAGGAAGGAAGGGGGAGAGGGAGGTGGTCTTTCTCTTTAAACCGGGGCTGGGTAGGAATTGTCAGAGGCCTGGTCAGGCGTTGCCTGCCGCCTCTCAATGTTTGACAACTTGTTTTTTGTGGAGACCCAAACTTTGTAAAGGAAAAGAAAAGAAAAAAGGACTGTCAGGGGGAGCAGCCTAATGACACCGCACCCCACCCCCAGCTCAGACACCTACCTGTGACGTTCCCATGTGTGGGGTCCTGTAGTCTCGGCTCCGACCAGCTGTGGCCGAGGCAGGCCCCAGGCTTTCCTGCTGGGGCTTGCTTCAATGTCACTTGAGTCTGGACAGGTGACCCTGGCCAGCAGGTAACTCAGTCCTGGATGCCTCTTGGATCACACTGAGCACTTTGAGAAATATTGGTGATTCCCCCCTCCTCCATCTTAAATATCCATATCATATCATGATATCCATATCATAAATATATGCTTGGTTTGGGGTGTTGCTTGGACAGGCAGAGTTTTGAAAACTCTGGATGATTGTAATGTGTAGGTAAAGTGGGGGTTTTCCCCAATGGCTGGCAAAGGCCAATCAAGGTCAGGCTTCCTGCCTCCTCCTCCTCCTCCCAGGAGAAAGGCTAGTTAGAGTGATGGAGGTTATTGCAATCCACAGCTGGGCCAGGCCTCCCTGGGAGGGACCACTTTGGAGGATGTTGGGTCATTCCTATAACCTTTACTCCTACGGAAAGAAGAGTGCTACTGGCAGTTAAGAAGGTGCTTCAAGTTCTAAACAAGACCCAGAAAGATCAGGTAGCTCTTTCTATAGATCTCCAGAGGGCCAGCTCTCCAGCACCTTTCTTAGTCCTTTTGGTCCACTCTGACTAGCCGTAGGCAGGGAAGGAAATCAACTCCAGAGTCACACATTTCCCTTCCGTTTTCTCATCTGGCTCTTCTATGATGTTCTAAATGAATGTCATTCATTTTACTGATGAGGAAACTTAAGCAATAAGCATCTCACTGGATATGCTTTTTTTTTTTTTCCTGAACTTCAGCTCTAATCCATGGGAACACGCTTAGCAGATGTTTGCCTATCTCTGGCTAGATGACAACTCACCCAAAATTAAATGTGTGTGGGGGGGGCAGGGTGTTCCCATATTGTCTTGGTCAGTAGTGTTTTGGTTTTAAGGACAATTATAAGAACATAAGTAAAAAGAAAATGTGGTGTATGGAGAGTCTTACTTCTTGGTCATGTTAAACACCTGAAAGCAATCTTTACCTAATTATTTGTAAAGTGATTAGCTACTTTTCTGCCTGTTTTTTTTTTTAATCCTCATTAGTTATTTTTCAGTCTCTTGTTTATTTTATCCAGGCCAGTCTTGGACCTCCATGTTCCTTTTCCTTCCTCCTATGTAGCTGGGGTTACAGACATGCACCACTACACCTGGCTTGGTCTTTGAGCTCAGATCTTCTAGCTGTGTGTGCAGGCTGGCTGGCCACTTGAACCTAGTGGCCCTTATCCTCCCAAGTAACCAGAATCTGAAGTGATTTTAACCATGTATTTGTTATATAGAATTAAGGTGATTTATAGAGGATTATCAGGAGTAATCATTGCTGAAATGATCCAAGCAACTATTTTCCACATTAATTCATAAGAGGCTACATTGTATGAAGGTTGTCCCTACCTAGGGGGTTTGCATGATCCACTGGAACGCATTCTTAAGTTGGGTCCCAACTAAAAATGAATGGTTGACAAATTTCCTTCAAATCATTCATGTGGAGGATAAAGAGTTGGGAAGAAACTCACTCTGTCCAAATCACTATAGCGAGATAAATAATGGCATTCATTCACCCAACAAATGTTATAAGATGGCTTTGCTCATTTGTGCGAAGTTGTTTTAAGGAATTACATGAAAAGAAAACACGGTCCGTTATGTTGTCATGGTGGAATTTGTCTCTGACAGTGGATTTTGTCTAATTTTTAACTTTCCTACAAAATGTGTAGAATACCAGTCCAGTAAAAATGCTTTTCAAAGGAAAACTAGCCATCAATACTAAATGCCCACCAGGTGCCAGAGACTCACACCTGTCATCCTAGCTACTCAGGAGGCTGAGATCTGAGGATCATGGTTCAAAGCAACCCTGGGAAAGAAAGTCTGTGAGACTCCTATCTCCAATTAACCACCAGAAAACCGGAAGTGGTGCCGTGGCTCAAGTGGTAGAGCACTCACCTTGAGCTGAAGAGCTGAGGGACATCACCCAGGCCCAGAGTTCAAGCCCTATGACAAAAACAAACAACAACAAAAAGCCCTTAATACCCATCACTCCAGAATGCAAATAGTTTGGACTTTTAGGTAAAGTCAGGTGTGCAAATGCTCAGATTGATCTTGAGAGGAACTAGCCTGTTCTATCAAGATGTTTGCCTTCATTAGCACAGGTCAGTAGTGCTGCCCGGGCTGTTGTGTTTGGCTGTAGTCCATTGCTTTCTAATAAAGAGTCTCCTCAACAGTATTTATACCGTTCTATTTGGCTCTTTTCTACCGCTTCCCTTCCATGAAACTTGTAGTTTAAAGGGATTTTTTTTCCCTTTTTTTCCCCTAAGTTGTTGTCCAGAAGAAATAGGGGAAAAAAAACCAAAAATGGCTGGCGACTGCAAGGCGTGAGCACCCATTCAGAGCCAGGATCCCATAGAGCACAGGACAAAAGAAATTTGCATGGCCTAGATTTTTTTCTTTCTGCCCTGGACCTTGAAAGTCTCTGGAGATGAAAAGCTGTTCTGCTGTTACTACTACACTGTCCTCCGCCAGCAGGCTCCTTCAGCTTATTGATTTACCTAGGCTGGCTGGATTAATTCTACTGAATTGATGAAATGGATGCATTCCTGAAATCCTGTTTATTCTTTCTAGCTGGTTGGGGGTCTTTTCGCCATCTTTGACTCCTAGCAGTCAGTCAGTACTGGGGAAATCTGGCTTGGGATAATCTCTCATGGTCCCCCAAAAATGTCTAGATGGGTGGGGCATTATTGGGTTCTCTTCTGCTCAGGCTGAGTTAGAATTTCTAACTCTAGTTCTCTTCCACGGGATGCCTTTCCTCCAGAGCCTTTCGGAGGTATAGATAACAATGGGCTGCCCTGAAGAGGTTTTGCCCAGCATGGGAAAAAACCAATAGGATTGGAGAACAGTGGGCTGGAGAACAGTTCACCTCAGTTCTCTGGCTTCCTGTCCTTTCCTGTAGACCAAGAGCTTGGCAGATTCCCTCTCTGTGCTGGGTCCTTTTTGGTCTCCCATGTGTACCCTTCTCTGACCTAAGTGGCTGTGTATGGAGTGTCAGGACCCTGGGGGGCCTTTCCTAGCCGCAGTGTGTCCCCCAGAAGATACAGAGACTGCCACTGTCCCCCTGTGGAGCAAGAAGGGTCGCGTGGAGCTGTGACATAGTGTTTGCTGGATTCCAAGAAATTCACAGCTACTTGTTCCTGCCAGAAAGGGTCTTCATCTAGACATCCTTTTATCCCGTATTTGTAAAGGGAAGCTTGAGACAAAGTAAGGTGGAAAGGGGGTGGTTCCTAGATATTTGCAGGGAATGTATTTTGAAAAATAGGACTTGTTTTCGCCAAACCACAGATTTTGTTGTTGGGACGATCTGTGCTGACTCGGCCTGGAATCCCTGCCCTCATATAATCTTTTTTTTTGCGGGGGGGGGGGGGGGGGGTTCCAGTCGTGGGGCCTGAACTCTGGGCCTGAGCACTGTCCCTCAGCTCTTCAGCTCAAGGGTAGCACTCAACCACTTGAGTCACAGCGCCATTTCCGGCTTTTTTCTTTTTGCTTATGTGGTGCTGAGGAATCGAACTCAGGGCATCATGCATGCAAGGCAAGTGCTCTACCACTGAGCCACCTTCCCAGCCCCCCTTATATAATCTTATTGTCCTCTTCCCAGAGGTGCTTTGGCACAGCTGCTTAATAAGCTGTTTCCAGAGTAACAGGAAGAGAAGTTTCCATTTGGATAAGCCGAAAGGGGGGGAAATGGGGATATGCGGAAAGCATGTATGAGATGAATATGGTGCAGTCCTCCTTGGAAAGTTGTAAGACAAGATGAGTATTTCATGAGAGTTTAAGCTATGGAAACAGATACAACGTGGCCCTGGTGTATTAAAGAAAGGAAATTAGGTTCTCTTGGCCTGTGATTATCAAACTTTTTCTTTAATGCCGGTCATGGGCTTGAACTCAGGGCTTGGGCACTGTTCCTGAGACTCTTTGTGCTCAAGGCTAGTGCTCTACCACTTGAGCCACAGTGCCACTTCTGGCTTTTTTGAGTAGTTTGTTGGAGGTAAGAGTCTCATGGGGATGTTTCTGCCTGGACTGGCTTCAAACCGTGATCCTCAGATCTCAACCTCCTGAGTAGCTAGGGTTACAGGTGTGAGCCACTGGTGCCAGGCTATGTCAAACTTCTTTATCACCCAGGGGACTCAGAGAAGTCTGGCTAGGACTAACCTTCCTCATCCCGACCCTCTTCTGCTCACTCCACTTCTTTCTGTCTCCTCTCTTGATGAATTAAACCACTTTGTATGCAGTTACGGTGTGAGGTACTTGGATTATTCTCTCTCTCTCTCTGTCTCTCTCTCTCTCTGTCTCTCTCTCTTTCTCCCTCTCTCCATGTCTCTTGCTATCTCTCTGTCTCTGGCTTGGGAACTCTCACTTGGCTTTTTCCCTCCAAGGCTGGCACTCAACCACTTGAGCCACACCTCCACTTCCCAGCTTTTGTGTTGGTTAATTGGAAGGAAGAGTGTCACAGACTTTCCCTGCCTGGGCTGGCTTTGAACAGGGCTCCTCTGATCTCAGCTTCCTGATTAGCTAGGATTATAGCATGAGCCACCAGCGCCCAGCTTGAATGTGGTCTGTCCTCGTTCATCTTCACGGTGAACCTTACTTGCCCAGTGCCACAGGACCCAGGTGGTACATGTCATGGCAGTAGCTAGGTCAGGGTGCATTACCCTCAGAAGGGGTCCATTTAGTTCTGCTGGGTGGACTCCCCCCCCCCCCCCAGCTTGGGTGTCTTAATGATGATTATCGAGGTATGACATCGGCACTTCAGAGGATGAAATGCAGGACCGCCCCCCCCCCCCCCCACACACACACCATGCCCTGAGCCTGTGTGCTGAAGGTCTGGGAGCCAAGAAGGCCAAAGTGGGTTTCTGAGGAGTCAGCAGGAGTGGGTGAGGAGGGGCTCTCAGGGCGAGCCGTGGGAGGAGTCTGGTTGCACAGGAGAGCCGGTGTTTGTGAACTGGGATGCAGCTCCTTACCTATTTTGACTTTGGCATCCTGAACCCCCACTGGGAAACAAAAATGCAGACAAATCTGAGTGGCAGCTCTCCTGGTCACCTTGGCCGTTGACCCAGGGATCCTGGGATCGTGAATTTGCTCACGTTTCACCAGTGTTCTTTCCTCCATATGTTGGAAAATGTTTTCACAAGTGGACGACTTCTCCCTGTCCTTTAAGACACAATCCACCATCTCTTCCAAGTTTCCCCTGATTATTCCACTTTGCGTCTTCTAACATAGGGTCAAATTTTTATCAAATGTAAAACTTCTCAGCTGGGCGCTGGGGCTCACACCTGTCATCCTAGCTACTCAGGAGGCTGAGAGCTGAGGATCATGGTTCAAGGTCAGGAAAGACCACGAGACTTTTATCTCCAGTAAACCACTCAGAAAACCAGAAGTGACACTGTGGCTCAAGTGGTAGAGCGCTTGCCTTGAGCTGAAGAGCTGAGGGACAGCACCCAGGCCCAGAGTTCAAGCCCCATGACTGACAAAAGAAAGAAACAACAAAACTTCTCATGTGACGGTTGCTTTCTCTGTAAAGTGAAACCATAATTGCTGACTTTTGTCACGTGATATATAACTTTATTTTATAATTGAACTGATAGGTCTTTCTGGAATTATGTTACATTTTCTCAGCTGATCATACCCTAAAAAGTGAGTTAAGTGAATTTATAGAAAGGAAAAGTCTCTACCTACATGGTGAAACTTTTATCTTTATATGAAAATATTATTTGGTGGTATGATTATTTCCACAAGAGTAACTCTGGCTACCCACTTTTGGTCTTACTGTGTCCTCAGGCTGGTCTGTGAGCCCAGTGATCCTCCCACTTCAGCCTTCCTTGCAGATGGAATTACAGGAATGTACCACCAAGTCTGGCCAGAATGGGATTTTTTTAAATAAAAATTAAATTAGTTAATGGGTTTTTGGAACTAGGAAGTTTTTTAGAACTCTGTTGGTGTAGCTGTTTTGCTTCATAGCTAATGACACTGAGATTCAAAGTGTGGAAAAATGAATTGTTGGAGGTTACTCATGGGGTCAAAAATAAACCAGATCTAATTTCTTGGCCTCTTGCTTCTTACCCTATAATCCACAACATTCTCTCAAAATTCATCTTGCTACTATTTCAAAGAAAGGGAGGAGGGAGAATTCCTAAGGAAAAGGCTTAGCTTATCCCCTTTTAGGAATTTACCTAATGAGTTTCGCACAACTGTTCTCCAATGGAGGGGATAATCATGCTAATGAAATTAATTTTTTTGCTTTTTAGGTGAGAGTTACGTGTGTGCATCCAATGAGCCATTTCGTAAAGTTGATTACACCAAAAATATTAATCCGAACTGGTCGGTAAACATCAAGAGTGGCCCCCCCAGGGCCTTGGCGGCTGCCTCAGTGAAAAGTGAAGTGAAGGAAAGTAAAGACTTCATCAAACCCAAACTAGTAACTGTCATCCGGAGTGGAGTGAAGCCCAGAAAAGCTGTGAGGATCCTTCTGAATAAAAAGACTGCTCATTCCTTTGAGCAGGTCTTAACCGACATCACCGAAGCCATTAAACTAGACTCAGGCGTGGTCAAGAGGCTGTGCACACTAGATGGCAAACAGGTAAGGTGCCTTCCACTACCTTTGAACTCCCTGCCCCGTGGCAGTTGGGTCTGAGGTCTGCCAGAACCACATGACCTAGACCTGGTCGAGGCGTGCGTGCACTATGTGTGCGTAGGCATCCTACACATCCTCAGGAATAGCAACAGCACACATTCCTCCAAGTATCTCAGGACCCACAGACGTGTTCTTCCTGTACTTCCTTAGGTAATTGATGGGAGAATGTCATTTCTGAGGGACAAGGAAGTTGATGAGGCACCCTACATGCCATAGGATGGTTTCCATTCAGGAATAAGAATGACTGTTGATTAGCCAGCCTGTTATTTGCTTGGCTGTCGCAGACATCAGAATTAAGTGTATTTCACAGATTTAGAAAAGTCATAGGAAAAATGCACTTCAAAATGAGATATTTTTATAGGAATGTTCATATAAAGTTTCTTCAGGAACTAGGGAGATGATTGATTAGCACCTCAGAATAAATGAACAGTTGTCCAGGAAAATGCAAGTTAAGTTATGGTAACAACATATCAGGGACTAAAATAACATAAGCACATTGTAGGAACGTGTGAATGAATAGTTGAATTTTGCCACAAGCCAGCTCTTATTCCTAAAAAGAAACATGGCTCCTGAAGTGTATTTTCCCCGATTCCCTTAAATTTGAATTGTTTATATTTGTACTGTATTAAAATTATTAAATTATTAAAATATAGTATTAGACTTCATTTTGTTTCTTCCCCAGCATTCTTGATTTAAAATGTTTTGCTATTGGAGTATCGAGAATGAGTGAATAATATAAAACATTGGAACAGGGTCTTCCAGAAAAAACAAAACAACTTCTCCTTTCTAAGACCAGATTTAATGAGTATAGTGTTTGCTGCAACATTATCCAAAAAAAAGAAAATGTGCCAGATTGAACTCGGCCTGACACACTACCTCAGCTCCTCTTCTGGCTTTTTGGTTGTTAATTGGAGATAAGTTTCACAGACTTTGCTGCTCTGCCTGGCTTCAAACCTTGATCCTCAGATCTCAGCCTCCAGAGTATCTAGTGAGCTACTCACACCCAGCAACATTATCAAAAATTTAAAGAAAGGTTCTGGGAGTGTAGCTCAGTACAAGAGTACAAGAGTGTGTATGGCATATTCAGTCTCAGGAATCAACCTCCAGCACCAAAAATAAATAGTATGACATACATTTAAAATCTAGATTCTAAAGTTTACAGCAGAATAGAGTAAATTTACAATGTCCTAGTTAATCTAATGACTAGAAAATATATCCTTCATAGTATATGCAGTTTATTGTATAGTGGGTCACATTATTAATGAAAATAGCAATGTGTACAACAGAGTCAATATCACAATGTAATACAAAACAAAATGTGAACTTCTTTTTTGGGGGGGAGTTGTGGGGCTTGAACTCGGGGTCTGGGCACTGACTCAGCTTCTTTGTGCTCAAGGCGCATGAGCCACAGGGCCACTTCTGGGTTTTTTTTTGAGTGGTTGATTGGAGTTTAGAGTCTCATGGGGATTTTTTTTTCTTGGGCTAGGTTCAAATCTTAATCCTCAGATCTCAGCCTCCTGAGTAGCTAGGATTACAGTCATGAGCCCCTGTACACAGCTCAAAAAAGTGAGCTTAAGGTTCACTTTACATACCTGTGAAAATAAATTAGGCCACTGGAAAACAAGGAAATAAAATCAGATAAATTAGATAAGTAGTTATTCACTGGGCACAGGAAAGCCAGGAATAGAGACTGATCTTTAAGATATCTAACCAATTACTTTTTCACTCTTTGAGAAAAAAAATGGAAACACAATAATGTTTTAGGATCCATGAAAATCATAGGAAATTTGAATGTTAAGGTACACAATAAGGTTTTATTGGAACAAAAAAAAGATATCTAACAAAAAATAAAATGAAAACCTAAATGCCATATTGGAAAAGAGATGCCATGCAGTAATAATTGCAGATGAGATTTTTAAAATGAGAAATCATTGGAATTCTCCAAAGGAATGACATTCAAGGTTACAGTAGAGAAATAAAAGAGAAGTTGGACATCTAATTGAAGCCATTGAAACCTTAATAGTTATTATCTTTGACTGGATATGTAAAAATGTTAACTAAGTCACAAGCAACTGGAAATCATCAATATATTCAATGTATTCAGCTCTGCAGGGTGCTGAGCTGGACATAGGTAAAGTATTGCTTTCTATCATAAAACATATCTGTACTTAATTCACAAGAAAGTTAATAGATCCGTTCTTGTTTTTTGTTGGTCATGGGGCTCGAACTCTGGGCCTGGGCACTGTCCCTCAGCTCTTCAGCTCAAGGCTAGCATTCTACCACTTGAGCCACAGCACCACTTCCGGTTGTCTGGTGGTTTATTGGCGATAAGAGTCTCACGGACTTTCCTGCCCAGGTTGGCTTTGAACCATGATCCTCAGATCTCAGCCTCCTGAGTAGCTAGGATTACAGGCATGAGTTACTGGCTAATAAAGCCTTTTGATAGAATGCAAGATCTGTATGGTCAGTTAAAGATTTAATATTAAAAATACAAAGTGATTTCTCTAAAACAAGCTAAGATTCTTTTCTTATCTCAAACCAAAAGCCAACATGTTGCTAAACACATGGAATACTGGGAGTATTTCAGTGGCGATCAATACAAAATCACCTCTGAAGGCACCAATAATTTGTGTTCCCTAAATTCTTTTTTTTTTTTTTAGAATAATGCAGTTTTAGCCAGCATCTAGACAAGCGTGTGGAGAAGTACTTAGGGAGAAATAGGCAGAAAAAAATTGGAAATAGTGATGAATGGTCTTACTATATATTAAATCCTCCTCCTCCTGCGATACCAAAAATAAATTCCAGGTGCTTCCAGACTGTGGATGTCAAAGTGAAACAAAATAATTTTTAAAATGTCAGTTGAAATAGGAAAGGATTTCCTAAACATAAAAGTAGTGACAAATCATAAAAACTAAGGCTCATTGGACAATGTAAAAATGAAAAAAAAGTTGGATGTCAAGCAGGCATGTGTGTTTTTAGATCAAGTTACAGTTGTGTAATAGGAAAAGACAAATGATGTAACAGGCAAACGACATTTAAAATGTGGGGTCAAAATGTAGCTTGGTCATAATAGCAGGTATAAAGTCTTGACACCATCAATAACAACAACAACAATAATAATGGCACTGAGATATTATTTTTAGTATTTTAAATGGGCAGATTTGGGACTGGAGGCAGGGTCCAAGTTGTAGATCATTTGCCTAGCAAAAGTGAAGCCCTGATTTCAAGTCCCAGTACTATCAAAAGAATTCTCAAAAAGAAAACAGATTTTTTTTTAAAAGAATGTCCACTACTTTAAGTGATGATCTGGCATTCTCAAATTGTGTGGGAAGTATAAAATTAACAAGTTGTCCAGAAAGCAATTTGTTCATTTACATTGCTACACCAAAGTTCATACTATTTGAGCTACTCAATTAACTTTAGGAATTTATTCTATATTATCTAAGATAGAAACATATTATTAAGAATTTCTTAGTCTAGCATAAAAGCAAAAGAAAAGACCTCAATGATATTGCTGCAACACCTATGTACTGCCATGGAAAATGATGGCTAGGGGAATATTGAAGGACACGGAAAAACTATTACATGAAAAAAGCAAGTAAATTTGTGCATGTCTTCAATTGCATATTGAGGAAGAGAAAAATAAAGGAAAATTTTAAAAAACAATTAAGACCGCAACATTGTAGCTGCCTTCAGAAACGGAACATTTGTTGCCATTTCTCAGATGTCTTCTTCCTGAGATCCAAACACAGTATTTAATCCTTGAAATGTCAGTATGCGGCTAGCTAATGTTGGCTAGCTAACATTGGTTAAATACTTGTCAGTGATGTGTCTTATACATTTAAATATTCTAGGTACAATGAAAAATGGTATTTTTAAGTTTTTTTAATTTTATAATAGAAGAATGAAAAGGAGCTAAGATTGGTAATGAGCTGTCTTTGTACAACATTTTAGACCATGTCTTTTAAGCTTTCTGTTCTTCTTCTAGCTACTTCTTACCCAAATTTACTTTTGTGTAAAATTAATCAGGTCTTAGGAGATGACTTAGGTTTTAGGCAGTTCACTACAAACCATCACTGCCCTGTCCCAACATGGACCCTGGTTTTAAGGGGCCCCTTCTTTGCTTTATGGACCTGAAAGCTTTTGAATTCACAGACAGTGCTGTGAGCAGGTAGCACTGGTGTTGTTCCAGCAAGAGGGTGCCTTGAATTTTTTCTTCCTTCACAATGGATGTTTCACATCTTCTGGCTAGCGCTGTCCGTCCACTGTTTATAAAATCACCTCAGATAAAATCGTATTTTATGGTTTTTTATGTTTTTTGTTTTGTTTTGGTTTTTTGGTTGTTGGGCTTGAACTCAGGGCCTGAATATTGTTGTCCTTGAGCCTCTTTGTACTCAAGGTGAGCTCTCTGCCACTTGAGCCACAGTGCCACTTCCAGTTTTTGATGGTTAACTGGAGATAAGATTCTCACAGGGACTTTTCTGTCTGGGCTGGCTTTGAACCATGATCCTCAGATCACAGCCCCCTGAGTAGCTAGAATTAGTAGCATGAGACACCTGCGCCAGGTGGCTCAGAATTTTTATCTGTGTTAACTTTTGGGTTTTCTTCCCATGAAACAATGGCTGTCAACCAGGGGAAATTTTGCCCCAAGGGAATAATATCTGGAGTCATTATTATTATCATCATCATCATTATCATTATCATGATCATGATCATCATCACATCATCATCATCATCATCATCATCATTTCATTGTCATAACTAAGAGTTATAATCTTCTGGCATCTGGTGGGTCAAGGCCAGAGAAACTGTTAACCAGCCTCCACAGCATAACACAGACAGCCACACGTAATTCCCGAACATCCCAGGTTTTAATAGTGTTGAGACTCAAAAATCCCTGGTTTGCAATCAAAGAAACACTTCTGAAAATAAATTCCACTGGTTTG